TGGAATTGTTACAAGTTTTAAATAAATTGATACTTGCAGGGGTTTAGAGCTGGCATATTGTAAGTATTCAATGCTTGTTAGCTAATAATATTTTAAAAGTATAACAAAAGTTGGTTTTTCTGGCAGAAAAAAAATCTGTAATTGTAGTAATTCTCATAATTTTTAAAATGTGGTATACAAGAACTGTGTTAATATTTGGAGGCAGAATTAAAGGAGGCATGAGTATTTGGGGAATGGCTAGCTATTGAAGGTAGTGGGTTCTCAGTCACTGGAAGCATTCAAGTGGAAATTAGACAACTCTTTGCTAGGGGTGTTGGTGCTTAGGGTGTGGGGAAAAGTAGGAGGTTAAAACATGAAAGTTGAAAATGAGTTAAACAACCTCTTAGAGTTTTCTAGCCCAAAAACCATAGGACTCTATATGTTAGCTTGTGTCCTGAATGTGGAAGTCTATTTTTATTTATTTGTCTTTTTTTTCGGTATAATTGAAAAGTAGCTCCCTTCCCTAACCCTAGATATTTAAATACAGGAATATAGGTGATGATATAAAATCTTTACTAAGAAAAATCAGTCTTTTATGTGGAATAATTTTAATTAGAGGTATGTTTCTTAATATAGTTCCTTGTGTATATTGTATGTGCATACTAAGGTATATTTATTTTGATTTGAACAATTGAATTGCTATTGAAAAATCTGTCTGAAAAGAAAATTAAAGATGATATGAATTCAAACTATATATACATGATAATTTTGCATTTATAAGGACTATTTAAAGATGATTTTTCATAATAAAAATCATATAAACTAGAATCTTAGAGGGAAAAATATATATATAAAAATATATATATAAAATATATATATATATATATATTTTCAATACCTGTTACTATGTACATGTAAGTGATTGAACATGTTTCTTTAGGGAAATTTTCAAAAATATTCATTCCAGACCTGGAGCAAGAATAAAAGATATATTTCACCTCTAAAAGGCATTGTCCTGCTAACATTATATGAAATCAGAAGAAAAATCTTTGCTTTGTACTAAAATATACTTTAGCAAAGAATAGAGTTGTCTGTGTTGATTTCCTTACAGTATCATAAGCTCTAGGTGTAGGATAATTTAGAACAAGTTCTTAGTTTAAGCAGCCAGAAATACAGGTTAGATTTTTCACATACAAATAGTAGAAATAAATTATGTGATTTGAGGTTCAAAAACATTGACATTTGGTCTGGATTATCACTGTGTGATTTTGACTCAGTAATTGGTACCAGAGGAACAGCTCATCAAGAATTCTGGAAACTCAACTGAGAGGATAGGATGACCAGTCATGGCTCCCTATGTGAATTCACCATGTGAATCAGGTTTCTGCCCTTTGTGGTTCTGCCTCCAGTATTCTGCTTGTTATTCTCTGCGTTAACTACAGAAGAAAGAACAAACTCAGCATGAGCATGAGCATGAGCACAGCATGACACAGGAAAGCCAGCAACCAAGTTAGAGTTCTACCCATGAGCAAGAAAAATTAATGTTGGAAAGACTGTTATTTCCTTTGGGGTTTTAGCTAGTGGCAGTTCCCTAACGGTGAGGGTGTGACCTAGATTATCACCTTGAGATGCAATATTTTAAATCGTTTTTTAAAAAGAGGGATTTCTTATTATTACAAGACCATAGTATGTGTAGTATGTAATGCCCTTCAAAATAACCCAGTTATAAGGAAAAGGTTTTAAAAGGGTTGATGTGATACATTAAAAGACTTAAAATATTACACTATTTTCTTGACAGATTGCTTTTGTTTCGAAATTGTAAAAGAGGAACACATCTTTCACAATCATTTAAACTGTAATGCTAAGTTAAAAAAAACTCAGCCACACTAAGAGCTTTACCATTAAACTAAATAAAAATATGAGTAACTGGAAATATTGAGTAGAACCTATGATTTGTTACATTTTTGAGAAGTCTTATTTTTAACCTTTCAATTAGGAAGAATAGTTTGCAACTCAAATATAGTTTTATAATTTAACCCCCCTCTTAGTTACATGTGCCTTAATAGTGACTCTACCAAAACAGCCAGAGTAGACCATATCTGAAAAAGTGATTAAGAATGAGAGAAAAATTGTCACATGAAGCAGAAAAAAGGTAAAAGAACAACAGTGTTGCATTTTTATGGACTGATGATGTTTTGAAAGTCATTTATAAGAAAGCAACAAAATCATGGCAATTGTTGTTAAATAATCTGCTTATAATAAAGTACAAGGTGTACATCTTTAGTTTTAGAAGATAAAGCTATGTGGACAATGAAAAAACTAAGATGTAACTAGAAGTTTAAGAAAAACACTGGAATACTAAAAATCTGGAACAGGAGTTTGCAGGAAGGGCTAATGAGGAGGTAGTTGCCTGGTGCTTTTGAATCAATTAATATATTTAACCATCAATCAATCATACTAACAAAACTGTATCAACAACAAACTCTTGAAAGCAGCATCTCGCCATCAAACTGAATATTTCTATATCCTCAGAGTGATAAACTGTATTACTGGAGGCAAGAGTGGCATCCACCAAGTTTATTTTATTTACTATGCTCTCCTATTAATTATATTTACTTACTTGAAGTGTAAAAAAAAAAAAAAGCCGTGGAATTGCAAAGAGAGTGCTCTCTAAAAGAAATGGCTTATCCTCCTTAGAGAAGCCCACCCGGGCATCACACCTGCCTTACCTAGTGTGTGTGGGCTCAGGGTGGTAGTTCCAGCTGATGCTCTGAGCAGCCACGTAGAACTGCCTTAGCCGCGCTGCCTCAGCCCCTGGGCTCCCCCAGCCTGCCCAGCTGGTGCCCACGACCAGGAGGACCCAGAGGCAAGGGCAACCTGGAAACATGGCTCCTTTCCTGCTCCTGCCTGCCGCCACCACCCAGGGATGAGTAGGGCTGCCTCAGCCGAGCGAGCGTCCCCCGGCTCCTCGGGGTTGTCCACCGTCGGGGCTGCAGTGCACTCCGGGAGGCTGCGGGTGGCAGCGTCCTCCTCCCCTTCAGCTCCCCCAGGCGCTGCGGCAGCTGCAGCCTGGGGCTGCCCCGCCTCCCGGGACCTTTCCAGGCTGGGGGTGGCTAGGTCACTGCCCCAGATGACAGGAGGGATTAGGGAGGGGTACCAGGTTAGTGACTGTTTTACTACAGATGAAGAAAGGGCAGAGATCAGAGGCTCCAGCAGGCGGAGCAGAACTGTCCTCCCACGCTTCCACCTGCTTACCCCACGGAGCACTAGCCCCTCACCAGCCACCATAAAAACCACCTGGGGCAAAGTGCACACTTGCCAGACCCTCTGCACTTCCCAGTGTAATGGAACCCCAAACCCTGAACCACACCACTCCTTCTGATCTGGGAAAGGGCATTGTGCCCTATTACAGGGCACAGAAATACTGTATTTTCAGGTGGTGAGGAGGCAAGGGGATGAGCACATGAATGGGACCTGCTGCCCGCCCCACTTTGCTGACTTCTACCCACGCACAAGTCTGTTTTGGTAAAAGCCTGTGGCCAGCAAAGGCAGCGACAGAGCAGAGGGTTTAGAGATTCTTCACTGAGAGAATGAGACCAGATTTCAGTTTCAGGTACTGGCTGTGTTCTCTTGGATAGGTCACACAGCCTGTCTGGAGCTCAGTTTTGACATCTGCAAAATCAGGATGATAATAATAGTTTTCCCCGAAAGGGTTGCTGGAAGGATAAAAGAACACTGTGAAGTGTGTAATTCCTAGCAGTTGGAAAGCACACAGCACGTACTTATTACTATGATTATGTTTTTCCTGCCTGCAGGGCCCCTTGTATATCTTGGAGGATTTGACTGTTTCACACGGCTTTTAAGATATGATTTTGCTATTTATAGGGAATCTCAGAATTATATCATCTGAAGCATCATCATGACTTTCCTGGGTCTCCTGAATCTGCATGCCTCCAAGCTTCTGTCTTAAGATTTGTGTCAACAGATTGAATAAATTGTAATGTAGCACCTGACGTGAGGTCTCCATCATGTCGGTCTCCTCAATAGCATTGCTCTCCTACACACAGTCTTCTGTCTTTGCCCCTTGTCTGATATTATCTGATCAACTTAGAATGCCATTCTTTTTTCCTCTTGGCTGTCCACTCTTTTAAAGTCCAGTCAGAGTTCTAGCTCTCTCCTTGATTCTGAACCAAACTGACTTTTCCATTTTATGAATTCCTCCCACACTCTTCCAATAATATGTTCATGTTGATTACCCTCTGTCACTTTATTTGGGCGTCTGTTGTATCCCCAACTAGATTATAAGCTAGTCAACAGCAGGAACAGTGCCTTGTTCTTCTGTATCTATAATATCAGTGGTTCACAAAGCTGGTAAACCACCAGAATTCCCTGGGAAGATTTTACAAAATGTAGATTCTGACTCAGGAGACAGGGCTGATAATCATCATCCTGTAATTCCAAGCTTAGCGATTGGCATAAAATTAGCAGTTAGAGATGCTATTGACAGTATAGCAGAGAAGCTTTTTAAAAGCAATGTGTCCCTAAATCCCAAGGTTTCTACCAAAATTCTTGCAAAATTCTTGTAACCTTTAGTTGGACTGTTTCACCATTTTTATTTGCATGTTTTATTTGCATTTTATTTGCATGTTTACCTAGTCTTTGTGACATGTTCATTGCCTCACATTTCACAGAGCCATGACAGTTACATTGTCTGGCTCTCTATTTTTTGCATCCGTTTCAGATAACCACTATGTAACTTTCAATAATCTATTTATTAAACATGAGATTTAAAGAATGAGTAAAACCCCGCTCTTCTTTCCTATAGAATATTCAGGTGATGACTTTTTCTGCTTCTCTGATTTTCTTCTTGTGTGTTTGAGGGGATGGTACAGTATATATTTGTTGGCTGAAGGGCTGAGTTGTAATTGGGACAAATGTAATTGTGCATTCATTACATTGATGTAAACAGACTGATGGACACAGACCTTATTGAACAAAGCATCAAATAATATAACATGGCATTTGGGTGAATCATTTTATTTAGAAATTTGAGTATCAGTCTTTGGGTTCTTTGGGGGAGAGTGATGTGTACCTCCCTGTCTTAATTCTTGGTCATCTGTAGCCTCTGGTGCCATCCAGAGGCTTCTCTGGAAGCCTTACAGCAGAGGTTTAAAAGACTTCACAAATAGCAAGCACTGAAGACCCCAGGAGATCCTCCAGAAACTCCCTCAAGTCAGAGACGCCACCTGCCTTCCAACAAAGTAGAGGATGCCTTCCTCCAACCCCAAAGTAAAGAGGCAATTTTATTTTTACACAGCCTGGTCTTCTGGTGAGTCAGATGTTCCCGGCTCTAGCTAATTAGTATCTCAGGTGACAGCTGGGGCAAAGCCCGCAGACCAACCAAGGAAACATTCCGTCCTAGCTTCTGAGGCTCATGTCAGAGGAAGAGGAAATGAAGCAGGAAGGGGTGGGGGGTGGATAGGGTGGGCTTGTGGTACAATCCTTCTGCTCTGTTCCAGAGCTACTGTAAAGGAAATTCCATGTCCTTTATTCACAAATATTTACAGAAAACTGCAGCAAATATGCAACAGTTACAGTCAAGTCTATCAGGAAGCCTGAAGTTCAAAACTAGGATCCTGTAGAGGTTGAGTGAGGTGACCAAGGGAAGGACAGTTCTCTGAAAATGAGACAAAAAATAAAAATAATTATATTTTCCTTAAAAAAAGAAAAAGTTCTCTTCATATGTACCCCCTGAGGCTCAGTGTAATTTTTTCCTAGATTCTAGATACTCTGCCATCTAGGCTACTTTCCTTTGGAAGCTCAACGACTCCTGGAGTTTTTGGGAAATAGGGGTCAGATTATCTTTGTTTTCCCAGAAAGCTATAAAGGGAATTGACTCCATAAAGTCTGTAAACTCTTTCCAGCAGTCATGACTTCTGGTTATCAAGCAAGGTCACAGTGTCAGTACCACCTACGGGCCATCTCACGGAGATGTCATACATCCTGAAATAAGTTACATCTTATTAGAACATTTCTATCCTGGAGGAAATGGAAATCCTCCTATGAACTCACTTAATGCTGTCACTCCACTGCCATATCTGTCCCCGACTGCCGCCACAGCTTCCTCCACAGCTTGGAAATTTAATACACACTTAAAATTTAACTCATGATCATAAAGAAAAGTCAAGCTTTATATTCTTCCTCTTTCCCCTACTCTTCTATTTCCTCCAAAAATACCTTCAGAGGTAACTTACCTTAAGGGGTGGGGTCAAAGGCAGCATTTGTAAAAACTCCATATTTTCCTGGGTGGCTAAAGAACAGAAACACAAGGATGACCTTCCATATGATGCTCAGTTCTTGACCACAATCCTGCACAGAGTTCCTCCAGAGACTGTGGATTACCACCCCACCCTTGGAATGCTCTGCTTTTAGAGGGGAAGAAGAATAGCCAAAGAAATTTTCTAGATCCCACTTAACAGCCCTGGGTAATTTGCACTGTAGCTTATACCCAGGTTAAATTAGTGTTGATGATTTAGGTCCTGAGCACCTGCTATCCCCCAACTGCAGCCACTTCTTGGTGAGAGGAAATCCTTACAAAATTCAAGCCTTGATACTTGATCATTTGGCTATGGGTTTTTTTTTAAATATATTTTTATTGAAGTATAGTCAGTTTACAATGTTGTGTCAATTTCTGGTGTACAGCACAATGCTTTAGTCATATAGGAACAGACATATAATTCATTTCATATTATTTTTCACCATAAGTTACTACAAGATATTGAATATAGTTCCCATGCTATACACTATAAACTTGTTGTTTATCTATTTTATATATATTAGCTAGTATCTGCAAATCTCGAACTCCTAGTTTACCCCCTCCCATGCCCTTCCCCCCTAGTAACCCTAAGTTTGTTTTCTATGTCTGTGAGTCTGTTTCTGTTTCGTAAATAAGTTCGTTTGTCTTTTTTTTTTTTTTTGATTCCACATATAAGTGATATCATATGGTATTTTTCTTTCTCTCTCTGGCTTACTTCACTTAGAATGACAGTCTCCAGGTCCATCCGTGTTGTTTTGGCTATAGTTTTCAAAGAATGATATTACTGCTCCCTATGGGCATTTTTTTTTTTTAATTTTCATAGTGATCAAGACTTACTATTGACATTAGGGCAGGGGCCAGGGGTGCTGAATGGTCTAATAGGCATGGGCCACAAAAGAACTGTCTTGCGCACTCCATGTAACTTTTGAATATCTACTCAATATTCAAGGAGGCGAAAAATCTCTGAGCCTGGAACTTAACTGCTTTATCCATAAATGTTAGTTTTTTGGTGTGTCTTTAAAAATGCACCTGCCATCTGAGGGAAGATAATGACAGGTTTTCCAACTCTTTACCAGAGTCTCTCATCATTTTGAAAAATCAGGTTGGTTCTGGCAACACTTCTGATACTGTTTGAGTCACTAATGGAATATTCTTGTCAGTTGGCCTTTAAGGTTGTTGCCTTCATAGTGATTCTAATTGAACGAAGGTGCAGGCCTCTGATAACCTCACAGCGTCTGCTAGTGAGATGCCCCAGCTTTCACATTTTATTTCTACTACAAGTCACTTTCCCTTGTATTTCTCCTTTATATTATGATTAGGGCACTTACTGTTTCTTACAAACATCATGTGTTGTTAAGATATATTATGTGTATATTTTGCTCCAGAATTTAGTAAAGGGGACATTGCCAAAGATCTGTTGCAAAAGAGGGGTGGTAGTGTATGTATAATCCTTCTGACATATTACAGTGAATTAAAAAGCCAAACTAGAAATACTTAATCATGAAACTTTTCTATCTTACCTTTGAGGATTCAAGGGACTTTCCCCCTCATCTGAAATAAGCAAGAAGACACAAAAGATTGGTTTAAAAGAAAAAAATGGGATGGAGGAGAAAGGTCATCAGTGATAGGAATTACTGGGGAAAGTTAGCAGGCTGATTTTCAGATGGGCTCATTATAAGGGACATATGGGGAACAATCCCTCCCTGAGAGCTAGGACCTTTTTAAGACTAAGTAAAATATTTGATAATATGTAATTCCAGAGACCTCTCATCTTTCTCATCTTCCCTTTCAACCTCTTCTCCTACCTCTGGTCCCTGCCTTCAGTCTCTTGGCTACTCTTGGTGGTTGTTGAGATCATTGGTTCTCGAAATCCATTTCTTTGGCACTTGAGGGCCTCTATCTTTGCATCCTGTCACACTCCCTCAGCCATTAGTGGGACTAGATAATCACATAAACAAATCCAAGTTGACGTAACAGTGGATATTTTCCTTCCCTGGTCACATATGTGATCAGGGGCCTTCTGTCTTAATCCAAACAATGGACTCTGATAGTGGAAGCTTCAAACATGTAAGCAAGTCTGTCAATCATCCCATGGGTAGATAAAAGGAGAAAAGCATCTCATGGCTAAATAAGTTTAGAAAATATTCGGTGAAATGAAGATGAACAAGTATATTTATTCCAGGGGATGATTGAGCCTTCAATGTGCTAATAATGTGCATTTTGAATTTGCAGGAGGGGGATATAGTATACAGCATTATCCTAGTGTGGGAACATAGAATCCTAGAAAGTTTAAAATCAAATTGGGACAGGTCAAGGGAAAATTCTCCCTCCCTACAAAGGAATTTATTTCGTATAAAGATACTGGAGGATGGGTGGCTGCTGGTCCCTCTGCATGGTTCAGAGGATTCCCTGGAAATGTCTGAAAACTAAGGGAAAAAAAGGACTTGGGGAAAATGACTCCTACATAGTGGTGGAAATTAAGACCCAGGTCTTAGGAGCTCTCGTCTCTGCTTCTGGATTTGGTTAAGCAAGCACAAATGGTACATGGACGGATTGGTTGTAGCTCTTTGATCTTTAAGCAGTGTCGCTGTTTGTCCGTTGCCCTATTCACCCACTCACAGAGTGTATGAAGCAGCTTTAGAAAAACAGCCTAATGCAACGGTGCCTTTGCGAAGGAAGAGAGCATGTGAGGAGGGAACCAGGGGTTCTTCCGCCGAGCAGTTAAAAATAGGTCTTGAAACTCCTCAACTCCATGAGAACGCTGTCAGGTACTTTTAACATCGCCACTTTCAGTTCTTGGATTTGAGCATCCTGACTGCTCTGACACCCCTCATTACTTTCCATGAAGAATAGTGATGGTCCCCAGCGTCTTATTAAAAGAGGTTTCTCAGCGTATGGGCAGGCCGAACATCTGGGACAGGCAGTGAAAGGATGTTGTAACCCTTAACGGGATGAGTCTCTCTTTTTTATTCCTAGGCTAGATCTATTTTTTGATGAACAGTCTGGTAAACA